ATTTAGCTATCAAAATAATTTCCTATGAATTTAAGAGCTATCTTTCAGAAATAATTTTCACTGCATAACTTTTGAAGAGATCACTGATACAAAAATGAAGTTTTTTATGTTTCTACTTTTACATATATATATACTTCTGTCACTGTCCATTTGAGAGAACAAAGTCAAGTACCAGAGCATCTGGCTTGGATGAAGAACCTTCTGCTTACGAAGGCTGCCATTCATTGCTAGTAGAGTCACTAATTCCCTAATATGTTATAGTATATTTCTGATATACAAACTTCACTAGCAAAAAATTGGGTTGGCCATTATTTATTATCTATGTGCCTCCAACAGCTATGAAATGTAAGAATTTGAGGAACTAGAACTTGTTAATATTGCCTTTTCAATGTAGAAAAGTTAGTAGTGCCTTTTCAATTGGAAAAAAGACTCCAGAGAACATAGGCCTTTTTTGCCACATTCCAAGGAAATGCAGTCAGGAGCCTTACAATATTATTGTCTGACAGCAGCACACGATATTCCAGAAAATCCATTGTAAAGATAACATCATTTCTCTTGTTGTTGTACATCCTCATCCAACCGTTTAAACTGCCTGCATGCCAAATGTCAAGACTTATAGCAAAATTTATTAAAATGTACAAATTGGAGTTAGCTTTAAATTAGGCTCCCTTAATTGGGAAATTAGCAACCAGAGCAAACTTCTATAATAAAATCTATATGTAGTCTGTATGCAATACAGCTGATTGTTATAGAAGATTTTCATAGCACAGAGAAAAGTAATTAAGAGTTTAGGTGGAGGGAGAATGGGCAGCTTTAGTTAAGGAAATGATATGTCACAAAGAATTGGACAGAGTCACAAATAATGTGGTTTTGATCTAAACAGAAAAATGAAATTTTAAAAAATGTTTACAGGTTCTGATATACCAGTTTTTTGTAGTTAACAATGAGAAGAAACCAAGAAGACTAGAAAGGCAAACGGATAAATTTAATACTGTTTCAAAGCAAAAAAGCAAGAAAGATTCTTCTGCAAAATCTGCTATAATCTGGGAGTTTATGATGCAACCCAGAGTTACAAAGTTTTCTTAAGAATTATAGAATACTTTATGGATTAAAGTACAATCCTGATAAAGGGGCAGGAAGGTGATAAAAAAAAGGGACCAAAGTGCCTTAATATGTTGTTCGTCCATCGATTTCGATGAAGACCTTGACATCTTGTGGATTGTGGGCCATCAACGGTGTGTCCGTAGATGGCTGATTAGACCAATGTTAGCACGGAATGTTCTGCCACATACTGAACAGAGAAATGTGGACACTGTTGCTTCAGCATTTGCAGCTCTGGCTTTACGGAGTGCTCGCTTCTCTTGTGCCAAG